AGAGACAGTGAAGATTCATCCAATGTATATAAACTGAAATGATCTATTCTGTGTTTTAAAGACTAAATCTGGCTACAGATTATATGTCTAATATGGTAGAGACTGGAAACCAAGAGACTATTATAATAGATTATAAAAAATTACTGCACATATCTCCAATCTCTACATGAACATCCCATTGGCATTGTGACTCTACTGTTCTTTCTATTCCAAGTCTTCAAATTTGAGTTTGACCATGTGAAATCTATAGAATTTACTTTGCAGGGTCTAAAGTTCACAGAGAGGTCATTCAAATTGTCAAGATAATTGTTGCCTTTCCTCAAAATAATCTTTTTTTCTTCTTCTTTTTTTTTTTTTAGGAACCTGCTTTAAACATGGCTATGTCATTTCCATCTAAGTCTCATTCCTTAGAGCAAGTTCCATGCAGATAATAGGATTTGATGATTGTTCTATTTGCTTAAGAGTTTTAGTGACTTTAAAATTATGTTGACTTTATGAAATTGAATTTAACCCTGGTTTTTATAATACTATTCATGAGTCTCTTATAAAAGTGCTGATATCAATCAAGGTCTAACACCTGATTCACATATAAACAGAACTTTGGGCATTTTCCTTAAAACACACATATACTCCCTCAAACCTAGACACACTCACAGGAAGTCTCTGAAGGAAATTATTACCTTAAAATGCTTCTGTATTTCTTTTCAATGGAGCATATAGAACACTTTTGCCCACACATTATAGGATTAATCTTTAAAAGCATCAACTTCTATAAGCAGGTACAAACCCTTGTCTGCCCTCAGGGAGAGACTGGCCAATAAAAGGTTATTCTGGAGAAGTAATGCTTGTTAACTTACTCTCTTGCACATATAATTGGGGAAGATGCTTTTTAGAGTATCAAACATGTATTGAATTTAACTCTTTCTCACATGACTAATTTTAGTCATAAACCACTTCTGATACTTTATAAACTCATCACTTAAGACAGCTATGAAATAGTTATGCAAAATTATTAGACTAGAGAATTTTTTTAAGCATTGGCATCTGTACCTACTGGCATTTGCCCATGATAATCCCCTATCTTTCCTGAGAAATCACTTCCATATCCTAGTCCTTATATAAATAGACAAAGAATGCAGTAAGACTAGCCAGCAGCACATCAATTTAAGCAGAGGTGGACAAAACTAGGTTTATAGCTGTGAGTATGCAAAACACCAAGTTTATTATTGCATTATTATTTATTAATTATATTATTTTCCATATGAACAACTGTGAACCTATTTTTACCCATCTCTGTATTTCCTTCTCAGACATAGATTCCCATGAAAATCAAATCCAAAGGAATGAAGACCTTGTATATATTATACTAGAGGCCCAGTGCACGAATTCATGCACAGGTGAGATCTGGCCAATCGGGCCAGACAGGGGAAGGGGCTGTGGGGAGTTGGCCATCCAGCCCCGCCCCCTGGTCGAACTCCTAGTTGAACTCCCAGTCGAGGGGACAATTTGCATATTAGCCTTTTATTATATAGGATATTGTTTTAATCAAATTCATTACTGTCTGCCTTTCAGGACTATGTACAAATTTCATTTTCATATCTATTCACTTTATTTTAAAGATAAAATATATCTGAAACAAGTATTTGAATAACCAGGGGTATTCACAGTGATAAAAACTTCTGCCTCGTTAATAATCTACAAGGCTCTGTTGTTGCTAAATGCTTATGGATGTCCAGGGAAGCCCTACTCCGGTTCAGGTGAAAACTCATTACCCATCACATAGTCTAATTCTATGAAGTGATAGGTAGGACAGGATAAATGTGTGTCAGTTCCTACCAGTAAATTGAGGGAAAATGCAAAAACCAAGCTACACATTTTGGGCAGGTATTGTTTCAGAAAACAGCTCATGTCCATTCCCTCTTCCTTCCCCACAAAGATCACTTTTTGAGCACAAGAATGCGATAGTAACCATGTTGTGAAAAATGTAATTTGGTAAAGAAGGGTCATGACACCTAAGCAAACCAGTGCTTTATCTGTCTTGACATCCAGGAAGAAAGCAATGCAGACCGCTGAGCCAGCTGTGTAACTTGAAGTGTTAGATATAAGCCAAAGATGATAAGCTATGAGCACCTATAGTAAAAATGTAGGAAAACTACTAGACTAGAATTTTTTCCTCTTTGTTTCTGTTTTCAGAATGTCCTCCTAACCTTTTAAGAAAGCAATTCATTTTTGGCACATGGGCCTTTCTTGGGACTTTTCCATTTGTTCAGGTCATGGTAATACAATTGTACTGGGAAGGGGTGGAATTATGCAATCATAGAACTTTTCAAACCTGGCTTTGAACAGTGTCTCTACAAGAGAGTAGTAAGTCAGTGACTTCAGTGAACACATTTTCCTCATCTATTAAAATCAAATAATATTTAAATATTATTAAAATAGCCGAAACTGGTTTGGCTCAGTGAATAGAGCGTCGGCCTGCGGACTGAAAGGTCCCGGGTTCGATTCCGGTCAAGGGCATGTACCTAGGTTGCGGGCACATCCCCAGTGGGAGGTGTGCAGGAGGCAGCTGATCGATGTTTCTCTCTCATCAATGTTTCTGACTCTCTATCTCTCTCCTTTCCTCTCTGTAAAAAATCAATAAAAAAATATATTAAAAATAAATAAATAAATATTATTAAAATAATGTATAGAAAGTTATTGGCAAGTAGTAGGGGCTCAACTGATAGTAGCTATGGTTATTTATTTTTTCAACATATACATAATTTCAAGCCACTTTACTTTTCGAAGTTGAAAATTAAATTATATAAAAATGATTTCATACCCACAATAGATTTCCTGAGATAATCAATTGTATCTACCTTTTTAAAAAATTATTGATTTCAGAGATGAAGGGAGAGGGAGAGAAAGATAGAAACATCAATGATGAGAGAGAATCATTGATCGGCTGCCTCCTGCATTCCCCACACTGGGAATTGAGCCCACAACTCGGGCATATGCCCTGACTGGGAATCAAACTGTGACCTCCTAGTTCATAGATTGACACTCAACTATGCCAACCTTGCTTTTATTTACCTTTCAATTGTGAAATAAATCATTTTGTTTTCTATTGAAGATTTAATTTGTATTTGATTATTAATTTACCATATTATTCAGTATTTTATTTTCATCTATTAATATTTCAAAGTTAGTGTTTTACAAATCAATGACTTTATACACTTTCAGTGTAAATAGTATTACTTACTTTTTTGCTACAGACCTGCTAAAATATTTGAAGGCATTGCTTCTTCAATCATATAGAAAGGTCTTGGGTGGCATTATTCATGTCATCACGTCAGTTTATTGGAAAATGAAAAATGCAGTTTGTCACCCTCAGGAAAAGTGAGTAGTTTGAATTTTCCAGGAAATTAGCTTGAGCTAAATTATTTTGATATTGCTTGCATCCAATCAACAGCACTGACATATTCCTGCAAATTGATTTTAGATTTTAAATTTCAAGGGCTACTTAGTTCATTTTATCAAAATGTAGTGAATACCTAACATGTGCATGAAGTTCGAAGATTGAAAATGACAACCTCCACCACCACAAAGACTTGGTTCTGCCTTCTAATTCCTGGTGTCTAGTGAAGGGAACGACAGCAAAGTGTGAATTCCATGATGGGGGTAGCTGTAAAGTTCCTGGAAACGTAGATAGTGGAGCTCCATGTTGGAGGGGTGAATTTTTGAGAAAAATTAGAGCCAGGTGACATTTTATTGGCTTTTAAAGACTAGTAAAGAGTTTCTTAGTTGGATATGGTAGAAGACTATTCCAGATAGAAGGAATAATGAGAACAAAGGACTCATAATTCATAGCTATTTACAGAATGGCTCTGGACTTAGTGTAGGGCTTTTACTAGTACAGCATAGGGTGGGATGGAAGTATGGCAAGGGCAGGCTTCATGTAGAGAGTCATTTTAGAGAACTAAAATATTACCTTCCGTATCACAGTATTCTTATCTTTACTTCGTTACATATCATAAGAAGATTTATAATACACACTAGTTGGATTTTTTTGTGTGTGATGTCTTTAAACTTATTTGGACTTTTCTTCAAGTAATATTATTCCTTTGCTTTTCCTATGATTTGAAAGAATTATTGCCATCTGATACTATACTTCAAATAAGGTAAATACAAATTTTATAAGCCATATTTCAAGAAGGCAATATATACTGTACAAAAATAACACTTAAGATCTAGAAAACATCTGCTGATTTTGATTCATGTAGAAGCATATATGAGCCAACTTGTGAAAGGCTATACATCTAAATAGCATGTGTTTAATAATATCAGGTTATGCATTAAAGAAGTATTCTTTCCACATTAGATATCATACACAGGAGTGTTTGTCTAAGTGTGTGTATATTAGAGCCTACTTTATTATAAAAATAATTTGAAGTTGTTTTGTTTAAGTTATATGTGTAAAGCAGAAAAATCTGCAGTATTCTGTTAATTAAATAAGGAGGCCAGTAGACTGAGGTGGCTCTAATACCTATGGAAGCAAACACAAATCTAAGCCTATCAATGAACTAAAGTTATGAAGTACAAACCTAAAGACCTCTAATCATAAACATCCAGCTAGACTCAAAGCTCTATCCATCAATAACTTGCTGACTTTGCTTCCCCCCTTTCTCTATGAAGGTCTCTGCCCAATCACTTCCTAAGTTATATGAATGTCTAATTACTTTGTGGTATACCTGAAACTAACATAATATTGCATGTCTACTGTAATTGAAAAATCAAACACAATTTTTTAAACAAACAAAAAGCCTCTCCCGAGTTCCTGTCAGTGGAACTCTCCTAACGACTTCCGGTTTGGCGCTGCCCAATTGCAATCGATAAATGCTCAAATAAACTTAAATTTTTTTTAGTGCCTCAGTTGATCTTTTTAACAGTTCAGTATGTTTAAAAATATAAACTCCCAGAAAAATGTAAGAGTAAAGAGTACTTTCTGTTTCCTCCATTAGCTGTGAAGAAGAAGGCTGGCTTCATCACTCCAGTTCCAGGAGGCGTGGGACCCATGACGGTGGCCATGCTTCTGAAGAACACCCTCCTGGCAGCTAAAAAAGTCATTTACTAGGTCGCATGAAAGAACGAAGCAAGCTGAAATCATGCTATTTATTTACTCGACAAGGGGGAAAATCCTTTCTATTTTACTACAAAGCTATTTATTTCTACATTGTATTTATTTTTTCATGGATGGAATCACTGTGGATCAGAGGATTCACACAATTGTATGCATTTCCTGCTAACAGATTTTGAGTTTTAGGGAAAAACAAAACCATTCCAGTGGAAATACTGGTAACATTTATTTTATGAATAATATTTGTTCATAATGTTAAAACAATAAAGGGCTCATAATAAATAATATATTTTGACACAATTAAATATCACATGCCATATGTTTTCAACAAATGTTTTGTCAGCCAAATGGACACCCATGTAAAATGTAATTCAGGTTTTGCCATAAGCTTGATCAATTTTTAAATATTTTAGTTCTATATCATATGCTAAAAAAGAACTAAGTTGCTAAAAGAAAGATAAAATATAAAAAATAAAATATTCATCTTATATATCTCCTAAATGCATCCTATGAGGCATCCTAATAATAAATAATGTTTAATCAAGGAAAAAGAAGTATACAAGGAAAACAAAAAATACAGTGCTGCTTGGGAAGGTAATGATTATGTGAAATGATAAATGACTACTTGTTATAGTAAAAATGTAATAAGAATGTATTAGGTTTACATGTAATTTCTTTGTTGTTCTAGAAAAATATGTGGACAGTGCCTTCTTTGAGGAATAATAGAAAATCCAAAAGCAAACAAATGCACAAAACAAAATTAAGGTGGCCTTTCCCCACAAAGATCAGGAAAATATGGCATAGTATGAGTTAAGCCTTCATTAAAGAACAAATTACGTTTTTTCACAAATGCAGGAATCTATTGGTAAAACACACAAACAGTGTGCCAATGTTAAACATTAGAATATGACTAAAAATCTACTGTTTTCTTTCCCACAGTTCTACCCTCTTCTCTTATAGCATTTGGTTCTCAAAGTAGATGCAATGCTTCTAACACAACTTAAATTTAGGAAATACATGTGACTCTCAGTTGAAGGTATCTTGAGACTGCTCTAGCCACATAATTGTATTGTTTTCATACTCAAATCCCAGTACATTTATGTACCAATAATAATTCTTACCCAATGCATGTTTTTAATGATGTGTATACTTATTATTTATGTGAGAATAGACTAGATGTTTATGATTAATAGTATTTTAACTGTATAATAAAAGCAATTTGAATAAGAATACCTGTCTTCTTTTCTCCTTAAGATATCTATAAGTTTATTTGTTCATAAATTTGTTATCTATTTCTTTACAGCATGCTGAGAACTGTACAAGTTTTTTAAGCAGGAAAATAAAGGTTCTATGGCCCATTCCACAATCAGCCTAGATCATCTTTGTCTGATAACCCTGACAGAAATTTAAATTCAAAGCTCTCACACAAACACTTCAGAAATGGGCTTTTTTTAATTTTAAGGCTGCAAATTCTCAAAACAAACAAAATGACTGAAAATACATGTACACTGAAAAGGTGAAGTCTGTCATTTTGAGCCCATCCTGCTTTCCCCAAAGTGCAGGAGGGGTTATTTTTTAAATGTTTTTGCCCCTTTGGCTAGGCTAAAATTCAGGAGTGAGCCTTTCCAGAAACTAATTAAAATACTGTAAAAGAATAATTATTCTGATCTTTGTTAAGAATGGTAAGAAATACTTTATTTAAGACTATAGCAATAGAGGAGATTGAACTCAACTCCCAATACAGCAACGACAGCTAGGGATTTATAGCCAATGAGCAGAATGAGGGCATCAGTGGATAGAAAATTATTAAGAGGAACTTGATTGGTGTCAAGGGTTGGGGGACTCTTGCTAAACTAGCTTACTACCATTCTTGCTAAAAGACAGGCCAATGACTTATGATATTAAGAATTGGGGGATGAGCCCTAACCGGTTTGGCTCAGTAGATAGAGCGTCAGCCTGCGGACTCAAGGGTCCCAGGTTCGATTCTGGTCAAGGGCATGTACCTTGGTTGCGGGTACATCCCCAGTAGGGAGTGTGCAGGAGGCAGCTGATCGATGTTTCTCTCTCATCGATGTTTCTAACTCTCTATCCCTCTCCCTTCCTATCTGTAAAAAAATCAATAAAATATATTTTTTAAAAAAGAATTGGGGGATGAGAAACTTGGTCAGATATGGGGGGTGGTCCATATACTGATTTAGCAAGATTCTTTTCTAAAACTGGGCCAAGCATGCCAAGTCAAGACCTAGTCAAGAAGAGGACCCACAGGAAACTGATTAAAATGTGGTCAAGGAGGCAACCTTTGTCAACACATAAAGGAGATAAAATTGGTTTGTTGTTATGACTTTTTAAAATATTTGGAGTCCACAAAAGATAGACATATGATGACTTTGTACAGAACCTTTGGAAAAGTAAATTGCCTTCTCCAAAAAGTATCTGTAAAAATGACCCTAGAGAATTAATTGGGATTGAACAATAATACAAAAATATGGAGGCAAGAATGAGCTTAGCATATATATATGGGATACAGTCATACTAAAAATGAAAAGTGTGTGTTGAAGAGCGGTGGAAATACAACTGGATAAGTATGCAGAAATAGATTAGCGAAAACTTGAATAAATTAAAATTTAGACCATATTGAATAAATTATGAGAATTGAAATTAGAGCCTGGAAGAGGCTTTCATTGATTACATGAGGAAGTTATAAAGGGAAGATGATTTTGGAGAAGAGATAAAATGTTTAAGACATGTTGAGTTTGAGGTGATAATATATAAATGAAAGTCCTAATGTAATATCAGTCTAGGAAGAGAATAAGAATTCATGGCTAGTGATGAAAATTTTGGACTCATCAGCATGTATCTACCACTAAACTCCTAGTCTTATTGACCATTATGCACACCCTGTCTTTCTGTATTTGTTCAGTAGTAACAATTATCCTTAATAGAGAACCTATCATATGCTAAATGCTTTATTTTCTTTTTGTTATTGACAATCACCATTTGATAGATAAGAAAATTAACTTTTGGGTTATTAAAGTCTCAGTCAAAGCCAAGTGGATGATGAAGGCAGCATTGGAATTTGAAACAAATCTGTTGGGATGATATGAGCCAGAACCCACTCTCTTTTCACCAGTCTCCCTGCTTCTCCCCTCACAAAGAATCCTTTCTTGTATCAGTATATGTCCAAATTCTACTTATTATGTAAGGTTTACTTCAATTGAAACGTATCCATGGAAACTGCTGGGAGAGTTTAAGTCCTGCCCCTGAGCTCTCATAGTCTATGTAGACATTCATAGCAGTTATCAGTTCCTACCCTGACAACACCCATGTATGTATTTTCCTTGTCTCCCTTTAGTTCCTTGAGGTCAGAATCCACACATGATTTGTCTATTTGTCCTGCATACATCATAACATCCAGCCCAGTGCCATGAACAATGCAGGCATTCGATATTTCATGAATGAATAAATGAGTGAATGGCAACTGAATCCATAAGAATACCATTTCCTGCCAATATCCAGCATCAAATTTTGGTTGAGTTAGTGAAAGAGCAAGAAAAAAGGGAAGGAAATAAGAGAAGAAGAGAGGAAAAGGAAAGGGAAAGAAAAGGAAGGGAAATGGAAGGGGAGTGAAGACACTTGCAGAGATGCTTATAACTAGAGGAACAAGATGAATACATTTAAAAAGGCACAAAGTGGTAGGAGGGGAAAATGGTAGTGGAGTGTTGCAGCTCTTAGCCTTCTTTCTCCCTCCAACCTGCTCTAATGTGTATCAAGAATGAATAGATATCAATGAAGCCACCTTACAACACCCATATCACCCATTTTTCAGGATTGGAGAAAGGACTTGCTGAAGAGAGGATTGAAGAAGTGAAGATTGGAGTCTCTCCTACAGAGAATGTAAGTGGGATCCAGCAGGATCCAGAGGAAGAGAAGCGTGTGGATGACTCAGAGCTATGTTCTGATAGAAACCTTAAGCTGAAGTGGCAGATGAGTTTCTAAATATTATGGCCCAACTCACCAGAATAGGGAAACATCTGGAGAGACACTGATCCATTTCTGGAAGCCCAAATGTGTGTGAAAGCCACAGTTAATATTTAGATTCCAATGATAAAGGTAATTATGTAAAGCTTGATTTTAGGAGATAATTAAGAGAATTCCTCTGACAGCAGTATACCCACTCCTACCAGAGGGCACAGCTGGGGAAATGGAAAGTGCACATGTCTGGAATCAGAGCACAGATTCAAGTCTTAACTCTGGGGCATGGCGTTTGGCAAGTCACTTAATTCTTTTGAGCCTTCATTTCTTATTTGTAATATGAGAGTAAAAACAAGACCTGTTGTTAATTTCTTTATTCACTTAAGACAGATTAACTATATAATGGACTAGAGGCCCGGTGCACAAAAATTTGTGCACTCGGGGGGGAGAGGGGGTCCCTCAGCCCGGCCTGTGCCCTCTCGCAGTCCGGGACCCCTCGGGAGATAATGACCTGCTGGCTTAGGCCTGCTCCCGGGTGGCAGAGGGCAGGCCCAATCCCTAGGTGCAGCCCCTGGTCGGGCTCAGAGCAGGGCCGATAGGGGAGTTTGGGCGCCACTCCCTGTCATGCACAGAGCAGGGCAGAT